TATCTTCTCCTTTTTGTCTTCTTCACAATCACCATTCTATTCCATCCATAGTTCTATATCCATGGCTCACGCTCATGTATTGCGTGAAAGTTGAAAAGGTTTGAGAATGTCAAAATTATGAAACAATTGCTTGGCTTGTCATCGGGGTTGTGCATGATGTGAATATTTTGTGTGGTGAAGATGGAGCTTAGCCAGACTATATGATTTTGTAGAGATAACTTTCTTTGGCCATGTTATTTTGAAAAGACATGATTGCTTTATTAGTAGGCTTGAAGTATTATTGTTTTATGTCAAATGATAGACTATTGCTTTGAATCACTCGTATCTTAATATTCATGCCATGATTAGATACATGATCAAGATTATGCTAGGTAGCATTCCACATCAAAAAATATCTTTTTTATCATTTACCTACTCGAGGACGAGCAAGAATTAAGCTTGGGGATGCTGATACGCCTCCGTCGTATATATAATTTTTGATTGTTCCATGCCAATATTCTACAACTTTCATATACTTTTGGCAACTTTTTATACTATTTTTGGGACTAACATATTGATCCAGTGCCCAGTGCCAGTTCCTGTCTGTCGCATGTTTTATGTTTCGCAGAATATCCATATCAAACAGAATCCAAACGGGATAAAAACGGATGCAGCTTATTTTTTGGAATATTTGGAAAATTCCGAAAGAAAAATCCACACGAGACGGTGCCGAGGTGGCCACGAGGCAAGGGGCGCGCCCCTGACCCTCGTGGGCCACCCGGAAGGTGGTTGATGCCCTTCTTCGGCGGCAAGAAAACTAATTTTCAGAAGAAAAAAATCATGGTGAAGGTTTTGATCCAATCGGAGTTACGGATCTCCATATATACCCGAAACGGTGAAAGGGCGGCAGAACAGAACGCAGAAACAGAGAGAGACAGAAAGGCAGATCCAATCTCGGAGGGGCTCTCGCCCCTCCTATGCCATGGAGGCCAAGGACCAGAGGGGAAACCCTTCTCCCATCTAGGGAGGAGGTCAAGGAAGAAGAACACGAAGGGGCCCCCTCTCCCCTTCTCTTCCGGTGGCGCTGGAACGCTGCCGTGGCCATCATCATCATCACCGCGATCTACATCAACACCTCCGCCATCTTCACCAACATCTCCATCACCTTCCCCCCTTTATCTACAGCGGTCCACTCTCCCGCAACCCGATGTACCCTCTACTTGAACATGGTGCTTTATGCTTCATATTATTATCCAATGATGTGTTGCCATCCTATGATGTCTGAGTAGATTTTCGTTGTCCTATCGGTGGTTGATGAATTGCTATGATTGATTTAATTTGCTTGTGGTTATGTTGTTGTCCTTTGGTTCCCATCATATGAGCGCGCGCATGGATCACACCATAGGGTTAGTTGTATGTTGATAGGAATATGTATTGGAGGGCAAGAGTAACAGAAACTTCAACCTAGCATAGAAATTGATGCATACGAGATTGAAGGGGGACCAATATATCTTAATGCTATGGTTGGGTTTTACCTTAATGAACGTTAGTAGTTGCGGATGCTTGCTAATAGTTCCAATCATAAGTGCATAGAATTCCAAGTCAGGGATAACATGCTAGCAGTGGCCTCTCCCACATAATACTTGCTATCGGTCCAACAAAGTAGTCAATTGCTTAGGGGCAATTTCGCAACTCCTACCACCACTTTTCCACACTCGCTATATTTACTTTATTGCTTCTTTACTTACAACAGCCCCTACTTTTTATTTACTTGCTCTTTATTATCTTGCAAACCTATCCAACAACACCTACAAAGTGCTTCTAGTTTCATACTTGTTCTAAGTAAAGCGAACGTCAAGGGTGCGTAGAGTTGTATCGGTGGTCGATAGAACTTGAGGGAATATTTGCTTTGCCTTTAGCTCCTCGTTGGGTTCGACACTCTTACTTATCGAAAATTGTTGCGATCCGCTATACTTGTGGGTTATCACATACCAACGATAGGCCCGAGCATACTGCTGCACAACCATCTCATTGGCATCCTCAGGGCATAGATTTGTTCCTCTGACTAATTATAGCCAGTCATGCTTCACTTTCAGCTACCGGCCTTGCCTTCGGGAGGGGGAGCAGGCTCAACACCAATTAAAGCGCCAAATCGAGCTCGTCAATTAACAGTGCTGACATTACCAGTAACAGATTATCCATTGACATGAAGGCCACTGATCATAGCCATGTCCTCCATGGTCATCGTCATCTCCCCACAGGGAAGGTGGAAGGAGTGTGTCGCAGGCCTCCAACGACCACAAGTGTGGTGAGCACCGCATGATTCACCGGCGGAGGGTGTTCTTGAACTGCAACACAAATGGGAGAAGACCCAATCTCTGAATGTACGGTTCGTACAACACATCGTAAAGAAAAGTCATCCGCAACGTGACTCCTCATGCGCAAAGCAACTATAGGCTGCAAACAAAGTGAATTTCGGATCACTTAAAAACACAAATGAAACACACCGAAAATTGATAAGTCTTGCTTCTTACCTTCTGATTCTCAATGGCCCGAGCACGATGATCCTTGTCGAATTCCTCGATTAATCCGTCGTACATCCGCCATCCTACCAAACAAATCACAACATGTTCTATAATTAAATACATAAACAATATCAAACAATACAATTTCCTTCTCCAAGTTATGCATTCTTTTTCCCATATGCACACATCATTCTTCTCAAACATACGCAAATCATCTTTCAATCAAATAAAAATATCAAACAATATGGTGTCACATACAACCATATGCAAAATTTCATCATATGCAACATCTGTCTTAAAACATACCTATTGACAACATATGCAAATATGTATCATCTAGAGTATCCAAACCAATCTCTTGAACAAATCATGCCACACACAACTATCAAATTCCATCATCTCTTTGCAAAAAAAAGAACGACAACAATAGGATGATCTACATATGGACCAAACTGAAATATAATTGCATATATATATATATTCGACGACACTTCATATACTATCTACAAACCATCTACACCATCTAACAACTACACAAAAATTTCTAAAACGAAAAAAAAACATCTATTCATCTAACATCACCCGCTGTTGAATAATGCAACCAAAAGGAGATGTTCTAACCAAAACAAACTAGAGAGAATGGGGGAGGGGGGGGGGATACCTCAAGGATGCTTGGGGGGCTCAGATCCACAAATTTGAGGGAAGAATGGAGTAGATCAAGGAAAGATTTGGTGCAAAGGGGAAGACGGGTGAGGGAGAGAGAGCCCTCTCGGTTCTTGCCCGGCCGCCGCCAGGGAGAAGAGGAGAATGGGTGGGCTGGGCCCAGGCCCGTCCAAGGGCATGTGCGGACTGTGCGACCGCACAGGGCCCCCAAATTCAAGGGGCCCCCTGTTTTGGGCCAATGTCTGTATATTATTTGTTTTGGCCCCTTTTTTCGCAGATAGTCGCGGGCTCCCTTGAACTGGGTCTGCTCCAATATGTCCTGAACCGAGCCCTAGTCCCGATCTACACAACTTACCGATCCATCGATCAATCTATGATGTTTCCCGAGACGAACTGACAGATCTGCGCCGCCGCCGCAGGGAGACCTAGGCTAGTGCTGTTGTCTCGTTTTTGATTGCTTCGTTTCCTTTGTTTTTTGCTTTAGTGATTGCTTCATTTCCTGCCCGAAGACACAGCTCAGTTCATAGCCCTTCTTGTATCAAGAACTAATTCCATGATTCCGCTAGCCGCCGGTCGCTCGGAAAGTCGAAGCAAATCAAAACACATAAGTTGAAGCAGCGGGTGGCCAAGACCAAAGGTGAGGGCATCACCGATATGTCTAACAGGTACGCTCAAATTGAATCCATTAAATTTAGACTATGTTGTGTGCTGCTGAATAATTATATTAGTCAGTATATTGTGCGCATATGCATCAATTCATCGATCAACTTTTTTTAGGGGATATATGAAGTAGGTTAGTTAATCAAATTGACACACACCAAGATTTCCAAGATAGTTGATTGTTTAACATTCAGGTCATTTATTTATTTTATTATCTGGACTAGCCTATAATTTACAGTGTTTGAATTTATTCAAATTTCTTTTCTTAAAAAGCGAGTATTCTAGAAATTTTAGGACCACAATTTGCATTTTGCACGGGGGCCTCAAATTTCTGGAGACGGCCCTGGCTGGGCCCACGCCCATGTGATTTACTTAGCAGGGCGAGACACCAAGGACCGTGACATTTCGACCATTTGCCACGTCAGTCGGTCAACGGGAGAGCGGGTCGTGCAGGCCGGGCGCAGACGTCAGGGTTTCGTGATTTTGTTAGTTTTTTTTTTTTGAGAATTCCGTGATTTTGCTAGCTATAAAAGGCCAGACCAGAAATTTTGTCCCCCGCCACGGCCCACCACATGTGCCTTCACCAACGGACCGGTCGGTCGACAGGTTCCAGTGGAACCGTGCGGCTTGCTTCCTTCCAGCGACTGCGCTCGCACAGTCGCTGCTGGCTGCGGATCAGCACGATCGCCTCGCACGGTTCGAGGGTTTAGGGTTGCAACTTGCACGCGCTTCCCACCAGCCAGCCGGGGCCGGGGATCATTTTCTACTGACACGAGAGATTAGCTGGTAACAGAGACCAAGGTTAGCGCATGTGCAGCTCGCGTCTGATTTGGAGACACTGTCAAACGAGTGGGTGCGACTTTCTGATCGCCTTTACTAATGAAATGCTCCAACTTGATGATGACCACGCGGGCTATTGACTCGGCGGGCCTCGTTCAGATTCACTAGTCCTTCAATGCATTTCATCGGGGACGGCTCCTCTTTCCTCCCTTTTCTTTCTCTCTCCTCCTTTCTTCCTTGAGAGCCGCCGCTGTGCACTCGGCTCCTCTCTCCTCTTTCTTCGGCGGCTTTGCCGGCCGGAGATGGAGTGGGAGAGGAGGCCGTTCTCTTCCTGTATATAGTAGCTTAGGACTGAGGTGTTTGCCTGGACTTCCCTTTTGGGCGACTGGCGTTATGCCGTTGGAGTGCATCCCACCGTCGCATGCGTGCAGCGCTCGGTGGTCGCCGGCGCCGTCCTCTGCTCTTCCTCCATGGTGGATGCGAAGGGAAGTCGACGGATCTGGCGCTAGCTCTTTCAATAAGTGTGCGGCTGCCTCAGATCGAGCCGATCCAGTGTCCTCCCTATTTTCTTCGTGCCGTCTCGGTGGCGGCAGTGGAACCTGCGGGAGAACACGGCGGGGTTCGAATCCTGGGTGCATGTTCTCGCTGGATCCTAGCTTCCAGCGAGGTAGTCCTGGTCGGATCTGCAAAGGGATCTCCACCAAGCTGCTGTCTACAGCATCCATCATGGTGATGGAGAAGTGGCGTCGCTCACAGGGGAAGATGGACACTGCGGTTGGGGTCCGTGAGCACACACGGCGGTGGATTTCGAGAGGCTGTGGCGCCCTTCTTGGTTGCTGCCTGGTCTCTGACGACCCGCCGTATTCTCAGGTCGAAGGGCGACCATCTTCATTCCTCCCGGCCAAGATGCCAAAGGGGAGGCAGTCTTGCTTAACGGTGGAGTCTATGGCATGGAGTCATGGAGGTCTCGTTGGCCCAAGTGGTGCCGTCCCCGGCGCCGGCGAGGCTGAATCCATCGGGGTGCAGATAGTTCGGACCCGATTGCAATCTTCTTCCCTTGTTCAGGGTCTTGTTTGCATAATGCAGGACCTAGTTCGTAGTTTTCTGTTTCCATGGGGTCCTGTTGTAAAATGTACTATCATGCTTATCAATGGATGACTGGGTCCTTCTGGACCCTTCCCTTGTTCAAAAAAAAAAAATCAATGCATTTCATCTTCAATGCATTTCATTAATAATTCATCAATGCACGATGCAAAAAAGTTGGTGGAAAATTATGCCCTGGGGACAAGTTGCAGGTTCGGTTAGTACTGCTTTTCATGATCGGTCTATGTGATAAATGCCTCTGTGCGCTGGATTTCAGATTCATCCTTGATCTTTTATAGTGGGCCAATGTGGCATACATTATAAGGTTAGTCATAGTGGGGGAGTAATTTAAACTAGTAACAACGGAGAGTAACTTAGACTAGTAACATCACATTTTACTAGGCTATGTCACTATCTTCATAGTGGATAGTAACATATGTGTGTTGTCATGTTATGCTTCATTTATTAGCCTATAGAATCATATTAGGCTGGTCATAGTGGGGAGTAACTTATACTAGTGTCATAGTGGGGAGTAACTTATACTAGTGTCATGCATATGACACTCGTCTAAATTACTATCTTCATAGTGCAAAAAAACATAATAGTAGTGTCATAGATGGCTTCATTTATTAGCTTGTAGACTCATCTTATATTGGGAAGCGCTATGTTACAGTAACATATTATGTTACTGCTTCTCATTAACTACTTGCCACATAAGCAAAAATTTCTTGAAGTGCACTATGTTACTGACTAAGTTAGAGGGTGCTTGGATCCAAGGGACTATTTTTAGTCTGACTAAAAATAGTCTCTTTTAGAGGTTAAAGTTCCAAGCACCCCCGACTAAAGAGAGGCTAGGACTAGTCTTGAGGCTAAAATGTTTTAGTCATAGGAAACCTACTAAAATATGTATTAGCACTCTCTCTCATCATTTAATGCCTCTCCTTTAACACATGCGAGTTCTGGATTGGAGGGTTTGGAGGATAATAAATGCTCAATAACTTGATTTTAGTTTTTTTAGTATTTGGATCCAAGCATGGGTGAGGCTAGCAAGTTTTAGTCCCACTACTTTTAGTCATGGGACTAAAATGTATCCAAGCACCCTCTTACTCTCACTATGACCAGCCTTATCTTGGTATGTGTGATGTTACAGTAACTAGCTAAGTTACCACCATCACCTCTCTCATCATTAAATATGTGTCACATAAGCAAAATTATCTTGAAAAGTGTGAGGTTACTAGTGATGTTACTCCCACTGTGACCAACCTTATAAGACTAGTTTTAGCATAGCCTTTATTACTACCTTCACAATGTAAAGTACTCCCTTCAATTTTATTTACTCTGCGTATTAGAGTTGACTGAAGTCAAACTTCGTAAAATTTGATCAAGTTTATAGAAAAAAATATAAACATTTACTATAACAAATCTATATGATGTGAAAGTACATTCAATAATAAACCTGATGGTATTGATTTGTTATTGTATGTGTTAATAATTTTGTTTATAAATTTTATCAAAGTTTACAAAGCTTGACTTTGACTAAATCTAATACACGGAATAAACAAAAATGAAGGAAGTAACATACAAGTAGTATCATAGATGATAGCATTTATTACATTATAGACTCATTTTGCTTTGAGTTGCGTTATGTTACAGTAACATATTATGTTACTCTAAACACCCCTCTCCTCATTAACTCTATGCCACATAAGCAAAACTGTCTTGAAATGCGCTATGTTACTTGCTAAGTTACTCCGACTATGACCATGCTGACTATTAGTCTCTCACACAAAATTACTCTTAGGCTGGTTATAGTGGAGAGTAACACATAGAATAGTAACATACATATGTTACTAGTCTATATTACTACATTTATAGTGGGTAGTGTCATATGTGTGGTAACATAGATGTGTTTATTTATTATTTTGTAGACTCATTTTGCATCGGAAAGCGTTATGTGGTGGTAACATATTAGGGCATCTCCAATAGTTGTAAGATAGGTGTTGTTAAATTTGTCATTTAGGACATAGTGATGACGTGGCATGTAATAAATGTGAAAAGAGAGCAAAGTCGTATGTAGATTAACCAACAACCTTTGCACAAGCTCTAAGATGAAATAAAGAGCAATCACATTTATTTTCTCATCATCTATTGGATAACTTAGATACAATCTATTGTAGTAGTTGTATGATATCTTATTGGTTGATGACATGGACATTTTATCAACAAGACTAACATACAACCTGTTGGAGATGCTCTTATGTTACTCTATTTGCCTTTCTCCTCATTAACTACTTGCTACCTCATTATTTTTGCTTATGTGGCATCTATGTTACTACTTATATTACTCCCACTATGACTAGCCCACCATCATTGTAGTACATCGTTTCACTTAAGCCCACGCCTTTGTGATTGCGCAATGACACAACTCTTCTATATCTAAATAGTTAGAGCATCTACAACCGGACTTGGCAAATCCGCCCTCTATATGGACCATCTCTCGTATCTCGTGCCCAACAGCCACATACCTCAAATCCCAATTCTCACATTCATGCACGTCCATCATACACGTCAATGTCGCACCTAAAAATTAAATGTTGATACTGAAAATATATAGTTCTTACATATAATTTTTTTAAATGCACAACTCAAACATTAGCTCTTTGGTTTTTACCATGGGTCCACATATACTTCACAAGATCACGGAGGAAATCACCGTACAGTTTGTGAGGTTGTGGCCCTCACTAATGCGAATGTCCCCAAGCTTGTTTTTCTTAGTGAGACGAGGCAAGCTTCAAAAAAGTTGAGAAGTTAAGGTGGAGAGACTGGGTTTGAAAGGATTTCATTGGAGTGAATAGTGATGGGATAAGTGGAGGACTCGCGTTGTTCAGGGATGGATCTTTGCAACTTACCGTGCTCAATCAATTCTGGCTATAGATACATTGATACTTTGGTGTTTGATGCAGCGACAAATATTCAGTGGCGAGGCATCTTCACCATCTATGTGGGTGGCGGATGACCCGTGGTTTGTCTGTGGAGACTTCATCGAGACCCTATGGCAGCATGAGCATTTTTCTAGCTCATTGCATGCTGAGAATCAAATGGCGGTATTCAGGGACGCGTTGACAATGTGTGAACTGGGTGACTTAGGCTTCTCTGGACTTCCTTACACATACGATAATGACTAGGAGGGTCATAGGAACGTTTGAGTTCGCCTTCGCGGGTAGTGCATCTGACTACTTGTTCAGATCATTGTTCTCTGCTGATTCACTTGATAGATGAAGAGAAAAGAAGATGGCAGAGTTCTTCTGGATACGAGATTATGTGGGAACATGAACCGAGACTACCAAACGTTATTGCTTCGGTATGGTCTAGGAAGAGGCCGGCCGACCATCTGGGCTCGGTCACAAGTGTGCTTTATGAAGGAGCAGAAAATTTGGAGTAAGCATAAGTTTGGGCACGTTGCCCATAGTATTGGGAAACCGAGGACAGAATCAGAAGCCCTTCAAGTTGGGGCAGGGGACCGGAAGGTAGTCGAACTAAAAATGCATGAGCTTGATTAATTGTTGTATACAGAGGAGATGTTATGGTTGCAACGATCTCATATTACTTGGATAAAAGAAGGAGAAAGAAACACAAAAAATTTACATCGCCGCGCGGTATGGAGAGCTCGTCAAAACTCAAAACTATATACGACGACTTCGTAAAGATGGTTCATGGTGCTCGGTTCCATCGAATATGGAGAGGATGGCAACGAGTGTGGACGATCTGCACACTGGGGCATCTGCACCCGCTTTTCAAAAATATACTTTTTACTTGTTTTGTAATGTTCAAAAATTCTAAAAAAAAGTTATGCATACATGTTGGCAAAGGTATATCCACGGTACAAAGTTTTGTGTAAAATGGTATTTTTGTTTTGTCTCAGTAAAAAAGACAAATTTTACTGCTTGTAAATAGCGTCTCACGGCACAAAATTTTGTCTTTTTTGCACAGGCTACAAAAAAAGTTGTTTTTCCGTGAAACTTTCTGCACATGTGTGCGCGCACCCTTTTTCAGAATTTTTTAACATTGCAAAATGTGTTTTCCAAAGTGGGTTCATATGTACCCGGGTTCATCCATGTACTTCTCGGATGGCAACCTCTTACTTTCAGGAAGTATACACAAAGGATCCTACCTTAGAGCATCTACAGCCGGACATCCAAACCCGCCTCAACTGCTCGGACGGACGACTCTGTCAGTGACTGGTAAAAAAAAGCCCGACAGATGGGCGCCTCAAACGGGCCTCAAACATCCGCCCTAACCGGCACCCCTCATATCCAGTCCGGATATGGGGCGGATATGAGAGGCCTAGGCACGACCGAACGCGTCTGCCATATCGTACTGACAACCAGGCCCCACACGGAATCATCCGGAAACCCAATGGTCTTACGAGTGTCTCCTCGGGTGGGGGTGTGAACGTCGTGTGGCACTGTTCTGGCTCACCGCCCGAGGCCAAAGTCCGGCTATTTAAGCCGGCCGACGTCCCCAACCCTATCCGCAACCTCTTTCTCCCTCTACGTGTCGTCGGCCCGATCACATTTCTCTCTGTCTCCACCTCCCTCTTCACTCGCCGTCCGATATAGCCCCGCGGAACAAGACCATCTACGCTATGCTAACGCTAGAGCGCCGCTTCTAGATCAAAAAGGAGATCTAGACGAGGCATGCCGCCTGCATCGTAGCCGGACGGCCTCCGGACTGACCGAAGTCGGAAAAGGAGGAGCGGCAACCAGTTTCGATAGAGGTGGTGGATCTGGAGGAGGACAAGGCGGGGTAGCCGGAGGAGGAGCTGGCGCCGACTGCAGGCTTCGGCATGGAGGACGTGGAGACGGAGTTCGCGGTCGCCTAAACGGCGGAGATGGCGGAGCAGCAGGCCATCCTGGATGGAATGGAGTCCATTCAGGATGAGGCTTACGTCGAGGCCAACCGACAATTCATCTGATAGGAAAGGGTGGCGACCAACGTGCTTTTCGTCGAACTTGACGCGGAGGCAGAGGCCGACGTGGCATAGCCGGAGGAGCCACATGAGCCGGAGTTGTGGC